ACATTTTACTCGTCAAGAAAAAACTCAAACTCGTTAAAGTTCTTAATGGTACTTTTCATGCTAGGACTTTAACATATTATACAAACGAGAATTCCATGCCAAAACCACTATGAAAATAAACATAAGTCATAGTTTATGGTTATATAGTTTTAGTGCAGCCAAGAAATGTAGGAAAAGGGGGTTTTAATTGCCATGCCAACGTGACCAATGTATCAGAGTAGGAAGTGACATTTATTTATAGGGGAAATAACTATGTTCTAAACCTTATAATGATTAATCTATAAAAAGTAAACTTTAAAATTGTTTTGACTTGTATCTTATAAACTTAGTAAAAGGTTTGTTAGTAAAATTATAGTAAGTTATAAAATATATTAAAGCTTTAAAAGTTTATGCATTATCTCTGACTTACATCACATGTTTAAATATAACTTATTCCATTAATTAATGTTAGTTATTTTTTATTTGTGTTTTAATTCAAGCAAGAATGTGTATTACAGTAAAAAATTAAACTAAACCTTGTTATTTTATTTTTATTTTATCTATAGTTTTCATTATTTGTTGCAAAGGATAATAAATTTTAATGTATTGCAAAAAAATGTGTAAGGCGTTGGTATTAGGTATACTAAAATTTTATAAATACAATTACAACAAGAACAAATCATAACATAACACCGTACATTGTAGCTATTTTCAGACTTAAAATATTACATAAAATTAAATTATGCAAAATACAGCATACTATTCTAACAGGTTTACATATTAATTCACCTTGAAATTGCCTATTTAAAATTAGTGTGCATGTAATATGCGTTACATTGTGTACCGTATTTGTTCGCGTATAATCATACTGGGGGCCCCATCGGCAAATTCGCCCGGGGCCTCTGAAGTCCTAAGTCCGGCCCTGAGATTGTACCTAGGTGATATTCGTTGGCATATTGCATCTGTAGACGAAACTTGGGTTGGTGTAATTAAGTACAGTATTTGCAATGGGTTTTTCTGATTGATAAATTAGATTTTCTTCTGCATTGTGTCATGTTTTGCAATATAATGTTCTATTACCAAATCAGTGGAAAAACCTAATATCACAGTAACTCTTAAAATTATTTCTTTTGGAGTTAACTTATATCTATTGTAGGGTTGGTTTCTGCCTTTTTTACCACTTCTTGGAGATTGTACGTAGGTGATATTCGTTGGCATATTGCATCTGTAGACGAAACTTGGGTTGGTGTAATTATTACAATGGAAAAGAGTGAGAAATCCTGGACAATTTGATATGGGCTAAAAATAAAACTGAATTAACACTGTTGTACATTTCTTGAGCAATCATTGAAATAATCGATTTGCAAACAATGGAATCATAGAAAAAGTCATAGAACACAACCAAGTACAAGAAATAGAAATAATTTATTTTTCATTTATAATCGTTGTCATAGACAGCCTAATGCGGCTATGAGAGGGAAAAATTTGTAGAAAACACTAAAAAACAAGATAAGCTTTTTGAAAAAAGATAAGATATTTACAAAAGATTTTGATTATATCTAACTGTTGTGTAGATCGTGAGTATTTCCATAAGCTTTGAGTCGCCTGTAATGCTTCGCAATTGCTCGAATTCGAGCAACAGGTACACTAGTAATTTATAAATTTACAAAAACCGTTGGGCGCATGCAATAAATAATAAATATAGAGGGTGTATTTTTAAATTAGGTATTTCATGTGCCTAACTTTTTTCGTTTTAAACCTTACAAGTATTTATGTTCTCTCCACATATTTATAAATTATTTTCTCCTTTTTTAGTGTTTGAAAATGCAGAACTTTTAAAAAAGTGTTTTAATTTATAAATTGTTTGTTCTCTATTTACAAGACACTGTTATGACAAGGAAATGACCTCTTGAATGTGTACACTTTATCACTCATTAATAAGATTGTTCATTTCTGTGATTTATAGATTTCAGCTGTTTTATGCGTAACGTAATGTGGTACAGTCATAACACAGAAAACTCCAATTGTATGAATAACTAAATACTTTATCTCGATAAATGGATTGTATCAGATCTAGCAAGGAAACTGGATTGTATCTAGGTAGCAAGGAAATAATATTCTAGATTCTAGAGATAGTTTTCTATAAATGATTTTCTTTAAAAAAAGAGCACAACTGTGGTTAAATAGCCTTATAGAGATTATACCGGTACCAGTTATTTTCAATATTCAATATTTCAGAGCAATATAACTTTCTGATTTAAAATCTAGAATGTGTCAAGAGAAAATGTCAGGCCTACAAATTATTTATAAAAGTTTAATGCTAAACTACAATCAAAAATTTAATTTGAGAGTCTTCCAGTGCAGTACACCACAACTGCAAACTAGAGAGTATTTTCAGCTCTCAGCTGTGGGAGTCTGGTTTCTAATATTAGTTCACCTGCTAGACAGGCTACTTTTAGACCTTAGTACAATATTTGTTGTTAGAACAGTTCAGAAACAATGCTGAGTGAACTGTTGTGATAAGGGACAACAGGTAAAATGTCTCAACCAATGCAATAGGTTGAAGGGTAGACAAACTTAAAATAATTAAATACAAAACATGAACTGAGATCTCAACTAAGAGACATTTGCTAAAGTGCAAACAATAAATTATCAAAATGTTTGGCTAATACAATTTCAGCTTTATTTAAATTCATTCCACATGGTTATTATTATAGCCTACAGTTAACTGAAACTGAATTTTGTCTTTCAGGGGCAAAAAATCCAAAATATTACAGTATTCTTCTACCACTGTATTAATTAACTTACCTAGGTGTAGTTCAACGATAACAAAGGTATAAAGGACAAAGTTTGGACCCCTTACAAGAAAAAGTTAACTGCATTGTAAAAAAAAAAAAAAAAAAAACAGGTTAAACACAGGTGATTAATGAAAACGATTGGACATTGCCTACTGGCAAATTTATATTAAGCATTCAAATTTGTAACAGTCTAGATATCGGTAATTGAAAACAATATTCATTTCTCTCTCAACTTTACATAAATTTTCTATGCCGAACAATAATTCATTGAATGGGGAACTGCTTTTAAGTTCAAACTAGCAATTCAAAATCAGAGAAACAAGTTTAAAAAAACATCAGTATAAAAATGTAGACCTAGCTTTTCTAACTAATCCATTTGATTTTAAGTTGAACATTTTGCTAAGCAATCAAAACTGCCAAAACAATTGATGATAGCCTACGAACATTCCGATTGTAGGGACATTTCCTATTTGTGTATAGCTTGTCCCTACTAAAATGATGTAGGGCCTAAGTTAGAAATTTATGACTGACTTCAACCCTAGCCAACATTTGACTTACCAGTTCATTGAACTAAATAAATGATTTTTACCAATTACTAGGTTACCCATCAGGTAGAACACTGAATCTCCTCAAACATAGCCTATATGAAACTGCAAAGTTTGTCCAAACAATTATTATTTATTGTACGAAAATAAGTTAGGCATAGGTACCAGTGAGTGAATATAGAATTAGATGTAAGTTAGTCCAAGCCAATACCAAATCATGTAGGCCTAAGATGACTCTTAACCATTTCAATGCTAAAATATTTTTTGTAATTTACCCAAAAAAATGCTAGAGTTATTTTTACTTATTTTGTCTGAAAAGTGCTAGGCTTGCCACAGGGGCTAAGTCTTATGTGCAAGAAAAAATTGGTAAAAATACAATTTTCCACCTCAAAAGTGCTAAGAAATGATATAGGCCTAGGCTACAAGTTAAATTATTGGGCCTCGATTGTAAAAGGAATCGAAAGAAACCATCGCTGTTTCGAAACAACAACCGAGTCATCCGATATATGCCCATTCAAACACACAATCTCGAAAGTCGCTCAGGCACGATATATCGTCGCTTAGCACTATTTGAATGAAACGCAAAAAAACGATTAGTCCCTATATCGTTCCATAGAAATTTTTGGAAAAAAGAAGCACAAAGATATATCATCGCATGGGCCTAGCACTGAAGGGGTTAACAACTTATAAATTTTAAGCCACTGGTAAACTTAAGGTAAAATCAGGTAGGCCTACTCTGTGAAAACCTCAGAAGGGGTTAGGAGTAAGCCTATCCTATAAGCTACTCTCCCAAAAGAACTGTACTGCCCGATAAACGTGGAAGTGAGTACTGTAGGCCTATAGCTGAGGAGTAAGTTACTCGTCACTGACTACTTGCCGGAGTAAGACCAAACCCATTTGGAATAAGTTAGGCCTAACTTACTGAGGCAGTTAAGTAAGTTAGTTGTAGCAAGTCCCGTGGCAAATTTAATTTTTAGTTTTAACTTATACTGCAGGCCTACTTTAATCAGAAATCAAAATCATTTATTGCCGAAAACATTAAATGTATAGGCCATCGTCAGGTACAATTTATAGCAAACATGAATTGCTTGTCTTAAGAAAAACAACCATTACAGGAAGCAGTCTTTAAATCTTGGTCTTTAGATTTCTATCACAGAAGTTGATTGTAAAAAAAAAGGAAGTAATATAAACAAATGTCAACAATACATAAAATTTATTTTAAACAGTTAAAAAAGTCTATTGTGACTTTTTTAACTGTTATTGTACAAAATAAAACTCAACAGTATTTAGCACAAAGTAACAAAGCCAGGCACATTTTTTATCGTCGGGCATTTTTAATTTTGTTAAGCTAAAACTTAAGTAGCCAAACTCTAACGTGTGAGAATTATTATCAAGAGTCTCAGCTCTATAAAACCTAACCTAAGCTAAAATGCCAGCATAGACCTATTTGGCAGGTCACAATATGCCTGGTCAGGGTGTTAAGGGTCAGTGGAGCCCTGGGCAAACCCAAGAGAAGCCCTTTTTTCCTAGTGCTGGCAGGTGGTGGTTTGGGGGCACCCCCAAAACACCGGCGCCCATGGGCATATGCCTATTCTGCCCGTTTATAAAAGCGGGCCTGTGCCTGGTTTCCCTTAAGTTAAGGCCTACATTGGAGCAGGAGAAAAATGAACACATTAAATATATTAATTAACTTTCATTGAAAAAAGGTTAAGACATGGTAAATAACTTATCTAACATATGTAGCATAAGCTTCAAACTTACAAAACTTCATCAAATGCATTAAACTTATAAACTTAGGCTGCACTTTAGTTTACGTCCTACATTTACCCTACTCACAAACTGCAGTATCGTTAAGTTTAAGGTTTAGTTTAGAACAGTTTCATTTTATAATCAGCTGGTAGTTTAATGTATAATAGGACATGTAGGACGTAAACTTAAGTGCAACCAACTTATAATCCAAAAATTGAGGACTAGATAGAAAATTTCAATGAAAACGTGAGTTGAAAATTATTTAGCAACCAGCCTCTAGGCTATGAACGGTTAGGCCTATCAGTCAAATTATAAGTTAGTTTGGAACTTGAAGAATTCGTAAATGTTGTAAAAGGACTTAATAGTCCTACAGGCAAGTAACACATTTTAATACGGAAAACAAAAGGCTGGCACACCAACATAGCTTAAAACGTAAAGAAATTCGTAGGCATAGAGGTAAAAAACATGTTTTTTTAAAACGAACATCTAAATTAACTTAAAACTTTGCTTAGAAGAAGTGAATAGTCTAAGTAAGTTTTTACAAGCCAAAGGCGTTGTGCAACATCCAGAAAGTACCTTAATCGTCCTTATTTTGGTCTCCATCAACTTTAACTTGAAGTTTTCTGTGCTCTTCTAACAACCTGTCATATTCTTTCTTGATTGATTCAGCCTGAGATTTCATGGCTTCTTTGTCCTTTTTCTCACGAGTAAGATCAGATTCAATAGTTTTGAGTTTTTGTTTCAGCTCCGTAACTTCCTTATCATGAGCTTCATTAGAGCTGTTCTGAGCAATTTCACCAGATCCTTTTTGAGAGAGGAGAGTTTTAGCAGTAGAAGTTGCAGATTGGGCTTGTTTCATAGCTGCCTCGCTTTGAGCTAAGAGTATTGCTTGTTGGCTGATCAAAGAAACAAGTCTACGAATGACAAGACTAAGGAACAAGGCGAATCCAGATATGTAAAAATTTCGCTGTGCTCTAAAAAGACGCATATTAACTTGCATTTCTGCATCTAAATGTGCATGTTTCTCAGCTTCTTCAGCACTTGAATACTTTCTCATTTCACGGATTGCATCACATAGGAACAATACAAGAACAAATAATATAAATGCAAAATACCATGATGCTTGGGCAGTCACCGCTTGAAGAAATCTTGATTTGAAGAGTTTTTGCCATCTTGTAGGAGATGCGATGGGTAGAACCAAAAGTAAAACTAAAGCAATTTCGGCATACAAAAATCCAGCAATCAATGTCCACTGTAAACTCATTTTACTAGCTTAATACAATGAAAATTAAGTTCAAGAAGTTTGACAATGAATGTTAAACTGGTCCTTGTAAATGGTATGACAGTCTTAGGAATAACAAGCCAGATTGACACTGATAATGCAAAATAGAAGTTTTACCATCAATTTTAAACTACTCTACAATCGTTCCGACTTCACGAATTCACAGCACAATAACTCACAAAACAAGCAAAAGTGACGAGTGGAAGAGACGAAATGACGAAAATAATTTACATGACTCACTAACTTTTTTAATTTTTACCATTACGTTTTGACATACGCACGTCGCACACTACAGACAGACATCTCTCGAAAGATGAAAGTATACTCGTAAAATGATGGACTATAACTCGGACCATAGATTAAATACTTCTTGGGGGATTGAATATATTATTCTTGAGGAATATGTATGTTTTATGTTTAACTATGGTAGTAGCATGGAGTCAAAGGTGGCCGCGAGTAACCAACACAAGTAGACTTCCCATCCCATTGTAAATTTTGAAGTTAGTTTTCCGTGTCTAGTTCATGTCCGGTGACACTGTCAGCTAGTGTCGATGAAATTTGGTTTACATTATTTTAGAGTTAATTTAATGATTTGTGACTTACTGTTTGGTTATATAACCAGAGGATGAGTTATTTTAGCGAATTTCTCATATAGGAAAAATCCTATTACCGTAGTACTCATGGTAAGACCTGGCCCCGGGACCGATTTTTACTTTTAATTTTTGAGGTCCCTAGAGGCCAAAAACACCATCCGTTCAAATTCATATTAATATATATATATATATTAATTTATATTCTCTCCATTTAGAGCTGTAGCAGGGGTGTCAACAGTAGACACTGTTTGCAGGATTATATGACGTGCTGCATGGTGCACAAGGCTATTGTCGTACAGAAGCCAAGCCAAAGTACCTTCTTGAGCGGCTCTCTTTCCGGGAGGAGGCCTTTCAGCGCAGTACCCGCCGTGGAAGTCTCCAGCTTCACTTTCCAAAAGTGAGGCTTGAGTTTGGAAGTGGAAGCTTCTCGTACTTTGGCCCAAAGCTGTACAACGGCCTCCCCTCTGGCCTAAAACATAATATGCCTTGTCATCTTTTAGAGCCTAAATTAAGGAATTGTACTGTTATGATTACAGTAGTTGTTATTTAGATTTTATTGTTTCTGTTTTGATAATTGTTTCTATTTGTTTGTTTGTTAGCTTTTTTGTTACTTATAAAAATATGACAAGAGTTGTTCTGAAAAGCAATTGTACTGAGAAACGCTTGATCAATAAAGGCATTTTTATTTTTTTTTTATTTTTTTTTTTTATTTATGTATGTGTGTGGGTGTAGTGTGTGTGTGTCCGTTAGCATGATAACTCGAGCAAAAATGATCCGATTTTGATGAAATTTGGTACGAACGTGTAAACATACATTTATTTGAATGAGTTCGCGAACCAGCATGATCGGACTATGGGAACGGGTGTTTTGGGGGCTTTTATGGGGTAAAAATAGGTTTTCCCATTTTTGACCCTAAAACACAAAATTTTACAATTTCTTTCCAAACCATTTTGTAGAGCTTAAAAAAAAAACAAATAAATTAGGATATTTAAACGTTACTATGCGCCTAATGGTTACGGAGAAAATTCAAAAAAAAATTAAATTTAAAATTCCCATGTTATTCTTATGGAGAATAAGTCAACTGTTGTAGTTTGCTTGATTATTAACATATTTTGATCAAAATTGGAAAATACATGTATTTCTTACTAAACTACAATATTAACATTTTACAACAAAATACTTTTTTTATCCTCCCTGTTGCAGCAAACCTAGTTACTCGTTAAACTGATGCTATTTAAATAGGGAATAAATGTGATATTTTTAAGGAGACATTTTAGTGTAAATCCAATCAAGCAAATGGAAATTTGCTAAGTCTGCAGGTTTGCTGCGGCGGGGGTTATCGTTTTATTTGGTCATGGTGGAAGTATTTTCCTTCCACTATGGGTTAAACGTGGTTTTAAATTATTACTGAAATAACAAAAGGAACAATTAAATTGTAAACAAAACACGACATCTACGCACCAGACGGAACTAACGATAAAATTGGCTTCAGCTGTTCCATAAGGATGGGAAATCTACAGTGGTGGCGATAAGAGACCGCATGTTTTTGTTCGCCAGGCCCCCTCTCCCAATAACCTTTAAACACATTATCGAAAATATTACCACCTAGACCTAAACTTGCACTTTAACTTGGCACAGCACCTCCCGAGGCACAAAGGCGTCACCATCGTCTTCCATGATCACGACAAACTCGTGAATCCCGTAGTCATGTAAGAAACATTATCATAGTCTACCGTGATTGCAACCTACCCTATGACATCATCAGGTCTACCGCGTCCGCGGCCCAATCCCTAATATCTCCCGCTACCCGTGGTGACGGGTAAATAATTTTTTCCCCAATTGCGGCAAACTCCTATAATCCGGTAAACTCCTTAAATGTCATTCTTATAATAGTTTTAGTTAAATGAGTCAGTAGGCATTTAAATGAAAAATAACTCAATTCTCAAATAAAAACCTAAACTAAATTAAAAGGGTTTAAGCAGTGGTATGAAGTAGCGCAGTAGTGGTTCACGGGTGTTGATGTTTTGAGGACGGCTAGTAGCGTGGATACTCCCATTTGAAAATACATGGCATACGGGCGCTCCGTACTTCACGGTGAACGTGGAATTGAGTATATATATATATATATATATCTCTCGCGGAAAAAGAAACGTCATTATCGTCTTCCGCAATCGTGGCAAAATATTGAACGTCTCCTGCGGCCGCGGATACGTTGTCATCGTCACCCGCGGGATATGTTCTCGCCGATATCCGTGATCGCGGCAAAAGCGAAGGCCTAATATTTCAATTTCGTGGGCGTGACCACAGAGCATAGAGTAAATATTTATTCTATGCGTTGTGGGCATGACCCTCGTGGGCATTGTATCGAGTAGTGAGAAAATCCACTCGAGCTTGATTTTCTGATTTGGCCCGAGGCCCATAGTTAAGTAACATTTTTTACCTGACTCGAAGGAAATAAACAAATCTAAGGTGCGAAGTAAACAAATATAAAGTACATCCTCCTAATAGTAAGAAATTAAATGAAATGAAAATCATGCTTTAGCATCAATGAAAGAATGGCATCATTTATTAGCTAGTGCCCTAGCCACCTATAGGTTAATTCGCCGATTTGAACGTAAAAAAATGGCAAAGTTTATTTTGTTGAATCAGCATAGAGGGCCCTGTCCTCTCTGGTGTGACCCGGGGGCCACATTGGTTCTAAATACGGTCCTATATTATAGCGCCTTTCACGAGGACATTAGTTGATGCAACCTGCATGACTGATTACAATTCTTTTACTTAGGTTGGTAGGGAAATCAATCGGTCAAGTAAATAGTGTCAGTTTAGCTGTTGTAAACTACTTGTCCTAGTGCTCTTACTGGGTTTACCAAATTTTCTACATAAAAATAACGTAAGGTAATTCTCATATAAATATTGATAGGGGACCCGTGTGGCTGAGCCTGTCACACATTCGCAGGCCTGTGCCCCGGTAAAATTTCCCGAAAATCCAATGCTCATGGGCCCCTAGTTCCCTAGTTCGTGGGCCCCACGCACCGTGGGCCCTGCGGGCCCGCTATCGCCACCACTGGACATTTTTATGGTTTTATCTATGGTAGTAGCATAGATAAAACATAACCTCCTAGTAGATTTCTGATCCTTACAGGTATGGAACAGCTGAAGTCAATTTTATTGTTAGTTCTGTCCGGTGCAATGTAGAGGTCGTGTATTGTTTACAATTTGTTTCTTGTTATTTCAGTAATTTAAAACATCTTTTAAAACGATTTAATCAAAATAATAATATGTCCCGTATGTGTATCCCTATAATAACAGAAACCAAATTTCATCGAGACAAGCGATCAGTGTCACCGGACATGAAATAGACACGAAAATCCTCGACAGCGACCCTAAGGCCCCGTTTATGCACCAAGAGCGGGAGCGGTAGCGACAGCGGGAGCGATTTCTAACACCATTGAGTTAAATGGGGCTGTTTATGCACCAAGAGCGATAGCGATAGCGGTTGACCTCCCACTGCGGTTTCTAATTTGCCCGCTGTGTAGTTAGAAATCGCAGCGGTTGCTTGGGATAGAGCGGTTTTCAACTACATTGAGTCAAATGGGACTGTTTATGCACGGCGGGAGCGGGAGCGGCTGAAGCCAGGGTTGCCAACTTGACCCACGCGCACGTGCACTTAGGACAAATAGTTGTGTTAATTATTTGGGAGAGTTTGAGTTGGCAAGACTGTGTCCCCCTTCCATTCTCCTTTAACCAACCGCTACCGCTATCGATCTTCGTGTATAAACAGCCCCATTCACAGCGGGAGCGGGCCCGCTATCGCCCCGCTCCCGCTCTTGGTGCATAAACGGGGCCTAAAGAGTAACTAGGGACTAACCTCATAAAGTATCTTTTTAAAAACTTATAGACAGTCTTGTTTTTGCCTAAAGTATGTAGTTTGGTTTTATTATATGCTTTAATTAATGTAGTTTATCATTCAATATGATCAATAACACTAGAGATATTACCACTGAATCCCAGAAACGTTTTGAAAAAAAAAATAAAGCTACCGATATGACAGTTGATAATATCAATATAGAAATTACTGTGATTGAAAATAATTACTATAATCATAAAATATAATTATTGTTTTAGTGTGAACCTGTTGTTCTAAAACGATTAATTGTCAAGTATTACAGGAGTTATTTTAAGACTATATTAAATATATGAGTATGACTGTTATTAGTATTAAAATATTTATTATATGTACTGCATATAATAAAACCAAAAATTACATACTTTAGGCAAAGGCAAACTAGTATTTACTTTACCTGTACAAATACACATGCGGCTTTATATTTAACCAGATGTATCGATTTTTGGATTGTCATGGTGCCACATTTTTTTCCGAGCTAGATATAACTGGATGTAGTATTGGCATGACAACTACGCCAGAAAATTGACACGCTGTAAAATTTAGATAGGTATGTTGGTGCCAGTTCTAAGAATCAACCATCCATTGGCTCATGGCTTTATTAAAATCTCTTATTCAGCCTCTCACTGCATTTTGCAATACAGGACAATGAAATTGGCACTATATGCCCCCAGTCGCGACCACCTTCAACTAACTCGGCCACGGCCCTGAGCACGGCCACCTTTAACTCCAGGCCGTGGCGTTTGAAGTGGCAAC